GGAAACCAATTTTTTCCGTTTAATCCGCTCCGCTGAGCGTCTGTTAGCGTAACAGTATAAGGGTGTTTTACGAGTAATTGTAGGAAAAAAAACATCTACAGTAGGGATGGGTGAAAGAAATGGAATGCTTCTGGAAGTTGATGATTAACTATGGTGTAGTTGTTGGATGGATATTTGCTGTTTGCTGTATTAGTTTTTAGTAATGTAAAGATATATAGGCAAAAAGTTATCGAAAAGACCATCTGAGCAAAAATAATAATTGGCTCTGCTACACTTTGGCGTTTTTGTTACGGTAAAAAAAAAAAGAATTGCAGCAGTTAATGGCTGTTGAAGCTTTAAAGCTGAATCATCGTTCATTGCACATACACATACACACACACACACACACACTCATACGCAGAGACGCCGACACAGACACAGTGTTGGTGCTCTGTATCGATACTTTAGAATAGTGTTTGGGGGTTGGCTGCTGGTGATAGGCTAATACAGCAAAATCGCAAAATTATCGATCCTTCTCTGCTTGGCACTTTTTTGCGTTTTGGACGATTTTTGCAGACAGCTTTCGGTTATTTTTTTTTTGTTTTTTTTTTTTTAAGAAACATTATACTGAGTATATTCTGCCATTCTTTTGGCTTATAATATTTCTTTTCTTACAAACATTGAACGTCCCTTACATTTTTATAACATTTCTATAAACGTATTTCGTTTTTGTTATTTCAGATTTACTTATACTAATTTTGGTAACTTTTAGTCATTTTTAATGGGCGCTGATAATGAACGGACATTTATTTGTTGACCAATCAACAACTGCAAATAGGTTAAGTTATTTTTTTTTTTCAACAATAATATAAGACACTAAAACTGTATGGAAAGCTTTCATCGTTTATTTTTTTATTTTTATTTTTTTTTTGTTTCTCAAGCAACTGCTAAATAATCGATCCGATATTGCAGCTGTAGGATACTGAAATAACAATTTTTTTCATCTTATTCTTTTTAAAACTTAGAATTCGGTTAGTTTTTTAAATTTATGCCACTAATATCTGGTGCAAAATAAAAACTTTAATAATTTATCTTTTATGTTAATCTGTGTGTGTTTTTTCTTGATGTATGAAAAAAAACTGTTAATTATGAAATTTAACTGCTAAATTGTGTTTTTTAGGAGCAGCAGCAGCAGCAGCAGAAATGCTTCTGGTTGAGTAACTAAATAATTAACCAGTAAAGTAAAATAAAAATATTTTTATGATTATTAACTACGGTTACCTTCTCAACTCATCAGTAAGCTGCTACATTATTTGCCATAAACGTACTGCTTCTTGTCAAAAATTTTTACTTCAAAATATAGCCGTTTATCAGAGAAGGATTTTTAGTTGTTTCTCTGATAACTGCTGCTCATTATCTGCACCATAGTTTATTGGATTGTTTTAGTATCAGCTACCGAATAGGATTTCTGTGTTATCAGTAGATTTTTGCTGTTGGCAGAAGGTTGCCATCGTGCGTTCATCGATATGTTCCATCGTTGTAGACGATAACTGACCACACACAACGACAGCAACTGTTTGCCACTGCGCTGCTGCGCTGATTTGTGGATTAACAATCATCGACCACCAGTCGTCGTTACGCAATTCCACTGATTCTGAAAACATTGAAGCAAATTTTTTCGGAAGGTATATTAGGCGTTTTTTTGTTAGTTATTAGCTTTATGATCAATATTCGCTAAGATATCATTATTTGCAAACATTTTTTTCTCTGACTGATTTATAGAAAAATCAGTTGTCACTTTTTTTTTCATATTGCTGCATTCTTAGCTGACGATCAGAAGTAATCTTGTGACCAGTCAAGGCTCTGTATCGATATGTTGTGGATATTTCAATCAATAATATAGAAACAAGTTAGGCAACTTATTTTATTCACATTCAAACTTTATTCAAATGAATCTTTAAAAAACGTAATCAGCCTTAATTTCCTTGATCTTAATCGAACACGCTATATTAATGAAATTCTAGCAAAAAAAAAGTGGGTGAATTCAATTTTGAAATGACTGAAATTTTTTTCACTGAACAGTTTTTATTTTTTTTTCTTTGCATTGTTCGGAAAGCACGGTCTGTTGATCTAAAAATCTGTTTTTATCATCAAGTTTCTTATACGTAATCAAAAACCTTCTTTTATACTGGGTTAACATTTCCAGGAATTCAATTTCTAGTGAAAAGGATGCGTTTTAGCTGATTGGGCTGGAAAAAAATAACTAGAACGTTTATCTACTTATTGTATGCGGAATTCATGTGGGCTAGTGAGAAGGCATGACTGTCAATCAATTTTTTGGACTTGGGAATTTCGAAAAAAAATTAGGGGATTTAAACTTTTTAGTGTGAAAAAACTACTTTATAACTCTCAAAAATTAGTACTGATATTAGTGTACAGAATTTCATTATGATAAACGTCATGGGGTTGAGAATTATTGGTATATTAAGAACGTCCACTAACTCTGAGCTTCTTATTCTGTTGAATAGGACTTTTTCAATTTAGAAAAAAGGAATTTTTAATTTTTACGTGTATTACTCCTTCCTTTTCCTGTAAACTTTAGTACCCTGTACTAAACCAAATCAACCGCATTCTTTTGCTATCATACCGTTTGCTCCAATGAGTTTCAAACTCAAAGATGATAATATCTGCTTGAGGACAGAGCTAATTCTTTATTCTACCCTGATTTTCAGTTGTTTCTTCTACTTCAATTATTTTATGAACAAGTAAGTCACTTTAGAAACTCAAGTTAAATTCACTTGCTAGGAACTTCTTTCCTGACTTTGGTATTTTCATATTTGAAAGTGGCAGGCGAAGGCCGGTGGTTAAAAACTGTTGAAAGCTATAAAAATTTAATTTTTTTTTTGGAGTAAAAGTAGCTTGGTGAATGAACGCCGTGAACGATTAATATAAGTTTTATCAAAATAGCTTTATTATAAAGTAATAGAATATTTCCAAGAGAAACTTGACTTCAGCTGTTGTGTTATAAAGCAGTTCGAGACAGCCTTTGATAAAACTTACTGAGAGGCTATTATCAGGATCAGTGGGACTTTCTTTGGCTTACCTTCTTTCAAAATTACGTTTTCTTAAAACAGGGAAACACAGTTATTCGTTTTTCTACTTCAATTATTCAAGCCTTAAGACTAACTTAACGAAGAAGCTTTTATAAAGTGTCCCATTATTATGTCTTTTCAGATGCCAAGTAGTAACATTGTGAAGAAGAAGATAACTCTTTTGGATACCAAGAGATTTTCAAAATAATTTGAACTATATTCAGTATTTTAATACATTCGGTCTCAACGACGCTAGGGGTTATCACTAACGTAGTAGTGTCTCAAAAT